TTGTATGGAAACTTGATCCCTATAGATAGAGAGAGATTGATGATATTTTTGGTTGCTTTTTTTGGGACCTTTTTAAGTGTGAGTGGAATTAATATGGGGAATATTTTATTAAAAAAAAAAAATTAGTACCTGATTTTTAAATTGGAACTCGAAAAGTAGTGTTGGAGGAAATTCTTTCTAATTATTAACAGTCTTAGAATATGACGTGGCCTCCTTCGTCGGCACCTACTTCTAAACTATGAACTGAAGTTTTTCATTTTTATATAAAATCTTGGAGATGATTTCATAATATTATAAACTTTGGTATAAGATGGTCCAATATTTAAAAACTTGGATATAGTACTGGCATAAGTAAAATAATCAGCTAAATATGATCCCGAACATCCCATTATGGTATTACGAATGTCGAGTATTATACTAAAAGAAGTGTGACATAATAATGTCAACTAGTAACTCATTATCAATGGTCTTAGTCCACATATATCTAGTGTTATACTAGAAGGAGGTATAAGCATAACTATCTAGTATAGCATTGAACTAAATGATATAATATACTATAAACAATATGTATTATACTAGAGAAATATAGTTCTATACAAAATGTCTCCGGTAAAATTCTCCAAGAAGGTACAATGATACCTTTATAATATACTAGTTTTTTGCCGGTGCAGTTATTTTTAAGGTAATGTTAGCGAATTGAGATATTGCATCATGAATGTCGAAATATTGCATTGAAAATGAAGAAATTGATATCATGACCATGAAAGAATTCTCAATTCTATACGAAAGAAACTATAAATTGATAATGAAATTTAGAAAAAATCTGCATGATGCAAAGAGTCACAGGGCGACGAATGTTAAACCCCTCACATTCAAAACCCATTACTATTTGCTTCTTGGGATAAGGCTCCAGAAATTTGGCATCAAGTTGACATTAACTGGCAATAGGGATTGGAACTGGAGACAATTGTTCTACATTGTTGCTACATTTGTCAGCTACAAAATCCAGTGAAGCAACCTTTCAAAACTAAAAGGTGCTACAAAAAGTGATACTCCCAATCAACCCATAATTTTTTAGGAAGCTCTTGTTAATAAAGACAAACCTAACAATACTAAAAGAGCAAAATTGCTTGTTTTTTAATCTTTCATCCACAAGAGAATGAACCAGTTGT